AGGTGTGGGGTTGGGTGCGTCAGATTAAAAGTTGGTACACACTCCATAGACAGAGTGTGGGCTGTCTCCAATGGAGAGAGAAAGGTGCCTGCGAGGCACCATGTTGCTAGTTTTTATGGGCTTCATGGCTTCATATGCTAATAAGTGGAAGGACCAGTCTAAGTAGCCTGGGGAAGGGGCTGGGATTCCCAGGAAGTTGGCCATTTCCCACCCTGTGACCTTTTGTGGCTAGCCTTGGGACTGCCGTGGTGCCTGTGGGCATGTTATTCACCATGTTAATATATTACAATGGACATATGATGAAGCTCAAGATCTGCTAGAAGTCAAATCTCCCATCATCTTGAGCCTCAAGGCCTCCTGGGGGTTGAATCTTCCCCCATTTTGATGTTAATTGCTGTAGCATTGCTTGAATGGCTGTGCCCTGCCCCCTTCCATCCTGCCTCATAGGTATACATTGAATAGGAATACATTTATTTAAAAGAGCTTACCTCTTAACACTGAAGTCATATAAGATACAAGTTCTCCTTTACCACTCTGAAAAACAGTTTCCACCCCCAGCAATAAAGTCCTATCACCTTACCAGCTTTATTTCTGTTTATGAGACTTTTCACTTCTAAATATGTTTGTTTGTTTATTGTCTGTTTCTCTACTAGAATTTAAGCTCCACTAGGACTTGCAACTTCTCTGTTTTTGTTAAATTTGAGAGATGTGTAGTGATGAAAACAGTTGATGGTGTGTAGCAGGGACACAGTCAATTGAATGGATTCCTGTTTAGCCAACAGAGTGCTTCGCTTCCCAAGTGGGAAAAGAAAGCATTAAGGAAACACTGTGAAGATGGAGATTCAAGCAGGAAGTGGCTTCAAGCATCTTATTTAAATGCTATTTCATAAATGATTGGGAAAATGAATTCCATGCGCACCATAAAGCTCTAAATTAGGGATCATCTGTAAACGCAGGGCTCTCTGTAATTTCGTATCTTTCTTTTCCTCTAACTTTTTTCCCCCCACTATCTTCTGCTTTACTCTGGCTGATTTGTTCATTGTCCCACAAATTGTACCTGTTTGCATAGCTGCCTTCCCTCTGCCCGGTACCTAGCTACACACAACCTTTCTTAGTGGAATGGGTATTCCTATTGGTACATGGTCAAAGCACAGGATTTAATTAAGTTATTAAAAGGGTCTATCCATTATCTAGCCACATTACGGAACAAAAGAACCCTATTCCTGACTTTGCTACTTGGCATTTCATGACTTAGAAATAACAGGGAGTTCTCTTTATATATAATAAAAATAACTTATCCACATACTCTGCTTTTCTTCTAGATCACTCCTGTTCCAGGTACTCATCCACTTTTAGTTTTTGTGAATCCCAAAAGTGGCGGGAAGCAAGGAGAACGGTATGTTATTAAAGATCAGGTTTATTTTCTGTTATATACCTGTAAAAAGCTAAAAAAAATTTTATGGTGTAAAAACATTTAAAAACGTTTACTAACGTTAATGTGAAGCAAGTGGTGTTAGCCTCAATATGTGATACTATATGTTGATTTGATCTCTCCGTGTTTTTACAGTTGAAATTTTGATATAATAATGGCCTTTTGTAAATATTTTTACTATCCTATCATAAGTATCTGAATTCTCTCTAGTCTGCCTATCACCCCTAGTCATTAACAAAGAGCTTTGCATACAGTATGGCTTCATAAATACTGTTGAATGGAAATTGGTTCTCTAGATGGCTAGCACGGTGACGTCAGGTAAATCATCACCCAGTAGTGAGGGGCAGAATTTATATTTAGCTTCTAGATGAAATATATTATAATGATCTTCTGCATGTGTGTTTGGAGAACATGATGCCGTATATCCTGGAGAAGCGCAGTATATTCATTCTGAATAATAATAAGCCGCATTACCAGGTTTCTCCGTATTCTTGTGGACAACATAAAATTTCGTTTTTTTAAATTAATGATTAAATCGTATTTAAGGAAAAATCTGAAAAGCATCAAATTGAAGAGTGAATTTTATGCTCTTCTAAAAGGACTGTGATAAACAAAATGCAGTCATACCTGTCTCAATTCCTAGAAACCGTCATTAATCCCAGCCAAAAAATAAGCAATCAGATAAAAGTCCTCACACAAACACTGTGATAATAGAACAGAAATTTCCACTGTGGTTCACCAAATAATGAGGATGAAATGTTTATATGAATAAGAGAATTTTGTAATTTCCTTTCCTACCATTTAACTTTCTAGCTATATTTCAATTAAATGAGGAATGGTCATTTTCTAATCAACAAAATATTATTTCTGCTTAAAAAATTTTCCCTTTTATCTGTATAGTAATAATATTTGCTCTGCTTAAACGTGATAGAAATTGTCTTAAACTAGTGGTCTAATAATATAAAATATTTATAATGCTTTATTAAAGAGAATGGTTGCCTCACTTTTAGAGATATAAAATAGTAATTAAATAATGATGCTTAAACTATTTTCTCCTTCAACACTCAGTGTTAGTTGTACATAGTATGGATAACTTGAAAAGAAGTAAATTCTTCACGTGGTAGATGAGACTTGTATTCATGTTGAAAATAGAAACAAATGAGAAACAAATGAAGTATCAAGGGAAAGAAATGTATTTTACCTGAAAACATTCCCCTTAAATTAAGGTAAATGTAATCATGTAGAGTGACCCTTAACTGAGTATCTGCCTTCTCCTTTTCACAATACATAAAATTTTTTTTTAATTAAAGATGAATATATACAGATACACTAAAGTCATCAGTAAATTAAATTTCATAGGATAGAGAGGATATTTGAGTGCTCCTATATACATATCCACTTATGTTTTGTTCTTTACACACTAGCAGGGACCATTCAAAGTCAAAAGAATTGTAAATATGTTTAAAAGAGATTAATTTGAAGACAATCATAAATTTTCCTGAAGGCATACGAGGCATCGTTCACAAGTAGTGGGATTCTATTCAGGGTTTTCCTTTCCAAGTATTTAGGATTTTTTTCTTTGATATATTAAGTGAGCAGCAAAAAAATAAAAAAAAAATTATACATTCAAACAAAGTTAGCTTCCCTTGCTAGTCAACAGGTGTCAAAATGTTCACACATCATTCATTCAGTCGGCAACACCTGAGGGAACCCAGTCTTTGCTAGGAACTGTGGCTTAAACGGAAGACGCAGTCATGCAGGGAGGAGGACACATAGATTTACTATAATACCACAACACAAATGCTAAGCTAGGAATGTTTCAAATACAGGTGCCATGGAAGTTCAGAGGAAGTTATGATTAACTCTGGATATTCAAAATCTAGCTTTTGAGCTGGTTCTGATAGAAGTAAATGTTTGTCAGGTGAAGGAAGGAAAAAGATCCGTGGAAGGCTGTGGTGTTTTTTAGGGAGCCACCAGATAGGCAAGGAGGTTTAAGTTTAAGAGGAAGAAGAGGAAAGAGGAGACATAAATTATTTTAACTGTAGTAAAATATTTTATATTATAAGTAACCTGACACTGGCAGAAAACTTAAATCACGAGAACAATATGACTCTTCTTAAATAAAAGTATAGAAGAAGGCTGGATAAGCAAGATTGTTATAGAGCTGGAGAGACAATTTGAAAGCCTAAACTAGGCTGGATGGGCTAACCAGGTGTGATCGACATGACTCAGAAGGTACAGGGTGTCTCCTCTTCGGGTTCAGGTACCGGGGAAAAGACAGTACTGAGAATGACTCTTAAGATCTTTCTTGAAACACTAGGTGATATAACTACTCAAGATCTAAAATATAAGGGTTACTGCACAAGGGAGTGGGAGGATATAAGCAGATATAATGTAGTTTCTATGAGTTAAATAATATGGCTGTATTTGTAAAATACATAGTGATATTTTCACATGTATATAAAAACTAATTTTAAAAATTATATATAAATATATATAAAAATATATAAATATATATTTAAATATACACATACATATATATAAATATAAAAATATATCCCTTCACTTTGGTATTTTGGCTCAGAATTCCAATATGGGATGTGTGTGTATTTAGAAACGTTTCTGTTGTATTTGGTATACAAAGATTGATTTCTTTCAGAAAAAATTGTTTAATATGTACCTGTTGAGATAGTTTAGCAGTTTTGTGAGCTAGCTGATCAAGATGATTGTTTATGCGAAATAATTAAGCCAATGAGGTCTCATCTTTGCTTCCATACATACATACAAGGTGCACAGTCCCACGTTACAGGCAGAATCGATAGCTTTCATCTCTGTTAGTTTGGCCCAATAATGTGTAAATTTCACAAGAATCTATGAAAAGATAGTTTACTAATTTTATACTAATGTTTTAAAATATTTATTTGAATCCTGTTATAATCTAGTAGAACATACTACTACAGAGTGAAAAAGGAAGCTGGTTAACAAAGAATGGAAATCACCATTTTCAAAAGCAGGATGGAGAATGCCTTAAATGCATATGCATGTTTAAATGCAGATATCATTATTTCTAATTTACCAGCTATATTGCCTTTATACTGCTACTAAGCCCCTGTTTAAAAAAGCCTTACGTTCCTATTGAGCAGTTATACTTGTAATATTATTCATGCAAAATTTATTAAATATATTTAATTACAACCATATATGTAATTATAACATTAAAGGTTGCTTTTTTTTTAACAATTTGAAGGTATCATTAAATTTCATTCTTTTCCTTTCATATTTTCATCTTTATAGAATTTACAGAAAATTCCAATATCTACTAAATCCTCGTCAGGTTTATAGTCTTGCTGGAAATGGACCAATGCCAGGGTAAGTCAAAATATAATATCATTACCATTAACTCATTTAATACTAATTATTAAATAAGCTGCCTGACATGCCTAGAAATAATGTTATTTGAATACAGAAGCCAGATTAATATACAAAAAAAAAAACCACTGAATATCAACTATGTAAGAGAAACTAATTCAGGTGCTGTTTTTCAAAATAACCTGTTTGAAGCATATTTTCCCCTTTCCTGAATATTGTGAAGTGATCCTTATGCTACTACTTCTCATAATAATAATAATCATCACACTACAAACATACACCTACATTAGCTGGATGCTTCAACTACTCAACCATCTATCTGAGGAAATGCTGTCCTTGCCTTTCCTTGTTAAATATGGAACATACTACTCTAGAGTGAAGAAGAAAGCTGGTTAACAAAGAATGGAAATAACCATATAATTTTTTACATTCACTACTTATAAAATCTAATAATATCACTCTCTTATTAGCTACTTTATGAACAGGCAAGATGTAGTAAAATAAAACTATTTTTCAACAGATACCATATACTTTTGATGTCACGAGTATGCACTAAAATAAACTGTCATTAATTTGGCCTAGTTAACTAATTAATGTCATCTTCTTCCAGTGACCTGTTTTCTCCCTGTCAACATAAGAGTAAACATTAGACCCAGATAAAGTGGCAAAAAGCTTTATAAATAAACAAATTTTTTTAAAACATCAGCATGATTAAAATACATCTTCTAGGTTAGTCTCAGAAACTGGACACCAAATGTTAAAATTGTCTCTTAAATGCTCAGAATAAAATTTATGCCATCGTATCTTATGTAGGTTAAATGTAAATAACATACAGTTAATTAGCACAGGCTCCCACAATTCAGCTCATCTTTTTCTTCCATTCCCTGCTACCTGTACCGGGGGCCGATTTCCAAATGCTGAGCAGTGATCTGTGGAACCTCCTGGCTGCAGGGGCAGGCTCACCATAGGAGTTTAGTTCAGAGCACTGCCTTTGTCAAACTCCAGGCTCCACAATGTAGAAGTTCATGATCAGATTGTTGGCTCTGTGAACCACCTGCAGGAAGTCCCAGTCTAGACAAAGACAAGCAAAAGTAAGGTCTTGATATTAACGCAGAAGCTCAGTCAGGATGGATCTTTGTCTTTGTCTCATTCTTTAATAGTCTCTGAAGTTCAAAGAAATAGCTTTTATTCTGTGGGATTAAGGAATTGTGCACTAAGAAGTTGAGCCATTCCAAGACCTCTGTAGCTGTACCAGACCAAGCAAATCTGGGATTTGCTTATATTTTATAGTTAAAATAAATGCCTGCTGGGTCTACTCTAATTATAGACCTCATAATTTAACCTCCCTGTGTCTTCATGGTCTTTTCTGTGAAACAAAGGTATAGTACCTGCCTCATAGGATAGCTTTGAAGTTAGATGGGATGATGCCTATGAAGCATCTAAAAATGTGCTTGCCACATAGTATGTCCTTGAATAATGTCATTTGTTATCAATATCATTGGTAGTAATATTAATTAACAATTAATAATGACATGATCACTTTGTAGCTCTATGTAAATATATTGCAGTAACATTGATTTTAGCTTTGTTTTCTCATTTCATTTTTTCTTACACTACATTAAATATGTATTCCGTGTTTCCTTTTACTCTTTTAATGTTAGGCATCCTATTATCTACTCTATTTTAATATTTTGATAAAAATAAAAGTAACATAGGAACTTGTGAAACTCCACACTATAATGAATATTTTTTAGAAATTAAGTTAAAGGTCTCACTTTAAGCATAACCACTTCTCAGGGATTATTATTGCAAATTGTGCATAAACTCCAAGAATTTCTATAAATATAAAGCTTAATGTATGTATATAATGTATTTACATACATATAATGTATTCATATATAGAGACACACATAATATATATGTTGCATAGATAAATAGATTTTTATATAACTTAGAGTATACTTTTTATTGTTCTGAAACTTGCTTTATTTTTTTACTCAAATCATTTGATGGATATTATTCGTGTTCAGTAGATGATGATCAGTTTCACTGTTTTTAAGAGCTGCACAATATTCCATAGTTTTGTTAGCTGTTCCACTATTGGTAAATATTTAAATTGCCTGCACTTTTAAATAATTACCATATGTGCTAAGTTAACATCTTCATCAATTTTCCATTATTAGAAAGTCATATAATAGGTTGATACATGTAGAACTGCTTGGTTGAAAATATTTTCAGTTTTATTGACAGAACATTGTAAACTGACTATAAATCAATAAAGAAAAGAAAATATTTTCAGTTTTAATTGTTAGCTACTATACAAAAAGTTTATATCAAATTATAATCCCACCAGCAGTATACAATGTTTATTTCCAACAACCTCCTTTAAATTGGCTCCCTTCAGTAATTTTCTTTTTTGTCAAATACAGCAGGTGAAAGTATATCCTTACCTTTTTATTTGCATGTCTGATCAGTTTTAAAGTTGAACATTGCATTAGTTAAATTCGCTTTCCTATAAACAAAGAAATATACTTTGGCCTATGGTCCAAAATAGAGTTTATTAGAAAATTATGAAGTTGTTCATAGAATTAATGGGAAAATGAACTATGTTTCCAGAAAGATAGGAATCAGGACAATCTGAGGAAACAGTAGCGAGACTAAAAAGACAGAGTTTCGTAGGAGTTATTGTTAAGAGAAATTGATTCCAATTGCTTCTGGTGTTCTCATTTCTCAGTTTAAGGTTCTTATCGCTGGGAGAAGCACATTTATCAGTCTCTCTTGTTTTCCATGTCACAGCCTTGGCTACTTTGGAATCGGACATCTTGACTAACAGTCCATCAAGACTTAACTAAATCATTTGTTTCCTCAAAGCCAAATGAGGATGCTATAACCTGAGGATGAAAAATGAATTCTTGGTAGCAATAGACAATAGGTGTTCACCACAGTCCAACCACTGGGCTATGCAAGATTCCTTCTTTTCTGAACATACAAGTTGAAAAAAAACACCAATTAACATATTGCTACTACTAAATATATAACCAAAACCACACATTCTCCGAAAATGTAGACAACCCAAAGTCTCAGCTAGTCACTACATCCAGCTTTGTTCCTGGTTCTCTGAAACACCTCTGTAGATGATTGATTTCTCCTTTCTCTTCATCCATTTGATCTCAATATACAGAAATTTAAGAAGAAAATTATACATTTAACTACAAATACGAATTTCATTAAACGCTGTTTTTAATAATATAAAAAATAAAACATATGTAAAGTCTGCAGCCCTGGTTTTGCTCCTGGTGGAAAGCTGTAGCTGAAATACACAACGTTTTCAGCTTCTAAGAAATGTTTACCCAGTGCAGTGACTCAAACATTATTACCTGATGGGTCTGGGATTTTGGCAGTACTGCTTGTATAGGACTGAGTTAGCCTTGTTTACTCTTAGTGATAGGCATGCTGGTACATGACAGAGTTAGTGCTGTTTATCAACTATCCCCAAGGCGCCACCCAGACACCTGATTTTGACTTCAGTCCTTTCACCTTGGGTATTAAGAGTAGCCGTATGGCTCTCTGTCACAATAACTATGGACGGAAAATAGATATTCCTCTCTTTCTTTTCCTGTACCACCATGACTGGCAAGATTCCGGGTATTGGTTTCTGGTTAGCTTGGATCACAGAGGGCAGACAGGGAGCGAGCCCCTCACTTACCCATGATCCTCGTAGAATGAGTGATAAATAAGCCTCTGTGAGGTTATGCCAGCAAGATTTGGGGTTGTTTGCTACTGCATATAACCAAGGCCTTAAAACTACCCAGTAACTGGAATAGTACTCCCTGTTTCCTCTGTATAGAGCAAACCTATTTCTCCTTGGGAATCAGAGGCAGCTATACCATTTAACAGCATATCTAGGCAGGAGGGTACAGCTCAGTGCGGAATGTGTGCTTAGCATGCATGAGGTACTGGGTTCAATCTGCAGTAAGTCCATTAAAATAAATAAATAAATGAACGTAACTCCCCCCTCCCCCCCGCCAAACACACAAAATTAAAAAATAGCATAGCTGTCTCTTTGCCTGTTTGGCTAGTAGTATGAGAAGCCTCAAAATGTCCAGGTGTCAGTTTCAGCTTTTATTTCAATACTTTGTCTCCTATGCCTGCATTTGTCTTTGATGTTAAAACATCTAAAGCATAAGAGTTCAAAACCAAGGTGGTAGGAAGCAAAATATTTTGAAGTGAATATATTAGTCAGTGTATTTTTGTGAAATAGAACCAGTAGAGAGAGAGTGTGTGTGTGTGTGTGTGTGTGTGTGTATTTGGAGAGAGAGATTGTAAAGAATTGGCTCACATTAATTGAGGCTGACAAATCTAAATCTATATAATTGATGTTCCAGTTTGAGTCCAAAGGCTGGAAAGCTGCTGTAGAAAGAGAAAGAGCCAGTGTTCCAATTCAAAGGCCATTAGGGTAGAACATTCTGTCTTTCTTGGGATCAGGTCAGCCTTTTGTTCTCTCAGGCCTTCAGCTGATTGGATGTGGCCCACCCACATGAAGGAAGGCAGTCTGATCTACACAGTCTACTGATTTAAATGTGAACTGCATCCAAAAATAGCCTCACAGAAACAAGCCAGTAATGTTTGCTTAACTATTTGGGAATCCATGGCCCTGCCCATTTGACACATAAAATCAAGATTCATGGTGTAATTGTAAGTTTCATCACCCAAGCTTACATATTGGTAGCTCTCCAGAAGCATGTTTTCTGAATGGAGTAAATCAGCATCATATTATTGAGAGCACAGGGTACAGCTGTTTGATAAAATAAATATATCATTTAAGTCACTTCCACTGATTCAGAGACTGAGTCTTTAGCAGGCTGTCTCCGTGTTCTATGGACCAACCGCTTCTCCCTGATAAAACATATGAGAAGGCCTGTACGTCCCAGGGGCATCAGCCCACTGTCTTTCTTCCTTCTTTGTGAAAGACATTCCTTGAAAGGAGACTGAAGTATGTG